CATCACCTGTTAGTTTGTGTTCATCACGTGTTAGTTTGTGTTCATCGTGTGTTAGTTTGTGTTCATCACGTGTTAGTTTGTGTTCATCACGTGTTAGTTTGTGTTCATCACGTGTTAGTTTGTGTTCATCACGTGTTAGTTTGTGTTCATCGTGTGTTAGTTTGTGTTCATCACGTGTTAGTTTGTGTTCATCACGTGTTAGTTTGTGTTCATCACCTGTTAGTTTGTGTTCATCACGTGTTAGTTTGTGTTCATCACGTGTTAGTTTGTGTTCATCATGTGTTAGTTTGTGTTCATTATGTGTTGGGCCATTCAGTAGAGTTCTATTTCATCCCTCCTGACCGCCAGAGGGCGGTGCTAAAAGCCCTAAATATTCCCTTCGTACATGCGCTGTTAGAGTAGTAATACCAACGAAGTCACAAGTGTGACACGGATGACCAATCAGAGGCTATATAGCCTGGCGTCATCCGCGGCTCTGTTCCTTTTTTCTTCTCGCGCGCAGTTCAATTCAGGGCTTCAGCCCTTGGACCTTTTCACCGTCTTCGGAGGCCCGACTGCCCGTTGGCTGGAGCAGCGTGCTCACCCTCCTAAGGGCCGCAATGGTTTAGCCTTCGTTCAAAGTATTTCTGCTGTTCATTGGGGACTACGGCGGCTTTTGCTCCTCTCCCAACTTACAGCGTCTGACTACTGTGTGTGTGTGATTCAACACTGGTGAGTAGTCTTTTACTTTTCTTTTGCCTTGGTTAGCGGCTCTGTCCGCTCTGTTGGAGGCTTCCAACCACGAGATCGGTTTGGATTGTGCTCCCAAGTTAATTACGTAGCCAGCTGTGTTCTGGTCTTGTTTTCTAATTTGTAAAGGCGCGCGTTCGCACTCCCTTTATCAATCATTTTTCACCAACCTCATAAACGGTTGGACTGAGCTAGTAGTACTTGCCTCCCTACGTTCTGGCCTTGTTTTCTATTGGTGGAGGCTAGCGTTGTGCACCCTCTTCCAATCATTCTCACCAACCTCGTACACGGTTGGACTGAGCTGGCATTACTAGCCTCTCTGAGTTTTGGCCTTGTTTTCTGATAGTGAAGACTAGCGTTGCGCACCCTCTCCCAATCATTTTCACCACCTTATAAATGGTTGGACCGAGCTAGTGGTGCTAGCCTCCCTACGTTCTGACCTTGTTTTCTACTGGTGAATGCTAGCGTTCGAGCACCCTCTCCCAATCATTTTCACCAACCTTGTAAATGGTTGGGCTGAGCGAGAGGTGTTTGCCTCTTTGAGTTATGGCCTTGTTTTCTATTGGTGAAGGCTAGTGTTCGAGCACCCTCTCCCAATCATTTGTATCAACCTCATACTGCACCCTGGTGGTGGATAGGTTAAATGCAGAGACTAATTTTGCCATTGTATGGAAACATACAGTGCTGACATTGTGATGACATTATTATTATTATTATACACGGTTGGACCGAGCTAGCGGTTCCAGCCTCCCTAAGTTCTGGCCTGTTTTTTATTGGTGAGGGCAAGCATTTGTATCCCCTCTCGCAATCACTTGCACCAACCTCATAAGTGGTTGGATTGGGCTAGCGCTGCTAGCCTCTCTGAGTTCTGGCCTTGTTTTAATTGGTGAAGGCAAACATTCACGCCCCCTCTCCCAATTGTCCTCTTTTACCGGCTGAGCTAGCGGTGTTAGCCTTTCTGAGTTTCTTTTCCTTAATTGGTGACGGCAAGCGTGCGCGCCCCCTCTCCCAATTTTTGGCCTATCCTTTCATCCTTGTTTTCGTCCTGTATCTTGGACATAGCTGGCGATGCCAGCCCCTTTGCTGAGTTGCGGTTTTTACTTGAGTAAACTGCCTAAAGTAAGAAGCATGGACGGCTCTCACTGCTGCACAGATTGTGGGGCTGTGCTTCAGGTGGATGACGGTCACGACCTGTGTCCTGCCTGCCTTGGACATGACCATCTGGTGGAGGTCTTGTCAGAGAACCCCTACATGAACCGCAGCGTCATGCCTCGTGTTGTGAGGGTAGCTCGGCTGGCCCAGTTTTCTCCCTGACCTCGGCAGTGACCTCCCGCCTTCTGGGCAGGAGGCTCCACATAGGTGCCCAAATGCCGGAACTGAGGCCGCAGTCTCTGTGGCCCCTCCTAGAAAGAGGCAAGCCAAGTCTAATCAGGGTCTCTCCATGAGGGTGGAGCAGTTGTCTGCAGAATTGGCGGAGATGAAGTACTTTTTTCAGGCACGCCAAATGGGGGCTGAGCCAGTGGCAGCAACCAGACTCTCCTTCCCACCCATGCCTGAGTTGGCTGCAGAGGAAGAAGTGTTATCCTTGGCTGCCTCTGCCTCTCACCTTTTAGGTGAGGAGGAAGAACACTCATCTCAAGTCTCAGAGACTGGTTCATTTTCTTCATCTCGGAGTGCAGCTAGTGGGTCAGGTGACGGCTCAATGCAGGACGTCATGCGTATGGCCCTGAGACAACTGCAACCAGAGGAGTCCACCCCTGGAAGTGCCTTCTGCAGGCGCAGACGGGCCCCTTCTTCCTTTTCTGTACCTCCATCAGAGGAGTATCTGAGGGAGTTGCATGGTTGCTGGCGGGACCCAAAGGTCTTTGCGCACCTCTCCGCGGATTCAACCTTTATTTAAACAGATAAATCACATTGAGCCTCGAAGAAACAAAAACAGTGGTTAACTGGACACATGTAGGAGTTGGAGGCAAAAAAAAATTCCTATCAGACTTTTTTTTTCCTGCCTGAGAAAAAATACCTTCTAATATAAAAAAAATACACCACACAAACAAGCACATAGTGACTTAGACATTCTGCAGAGGGGGGGAGCCGAGAGCAGTCAGCATGTTCATAGATGCTCTCTCTTGAGGTCATTCGAGTTCTGATAAGGATGGAAAATCAGTCAATGGCCTCAGGTGAGATCCATAAACATTCTCGAGGTATGTCGAGGATTGGCCAAGAATAACGTCTATGAGAATCCAAGAGTCCTGAAATGATGACACAAAGTTTATTCAGCTGGTTCCATCTGGTTATCAGTTGGAAATTCCTCAGTGAGGGGGTGGTGAGCTTCAGATCACATGTACTCCAGGCAAATTCAGATAAGATGGCCTTTAAGGCCAGCCAAGGGAGCCAACTTAGATAAACACACAGTTGTTTTGGGGACAGGCAGAACTTAATGACATCTACCTTTAGTCTGTGTTGGTCAACTCGGTTCCGAAATGTCCAAATTACATGGCCACACCGATGGAACGTGACTGAGTAAAATCCCCAAGATCTGATCCATTCAGCCCAAAGCATTTGAGTCTGGGTACTTGAGACAAGAACCAAGCCATCATAAAGGCAAGCAGCGTGATCGGGTCCAAATTTGCTGTCGACAACTTCTTTGATTGAAGAAAAAACTGCAACCAGCCAAATACAAAAAGCAGGAACCAGTTATCGTAAATCCAATTAAATATGCGTCCTTAAAATCCACATATGGCAGCAGAGATAGACACATCATCAAGTCTTCCAGTCGATGAGATATCCAGCTGCGTGCGTGCCAACAGGGTAATTCGACTCGCCTAAAGCCTGTCTTCTCTTTGAAGAAATGTTATAAATTGAGTTGAGGGACCAACTGATCAAAACAAGCCATGCCAACAAGGATGGCGGAGTGTTGGCGGCTATGCATAAGCCAGCTGCAGCAGGCTTGGAACGCATGCCGGTGATCGAACCTGTTGTTGCCTCACGCATCATGTCACCAGAGGAAGTTCTGCACAGTGATGTTTGGTGCCTGTCCAGGCACAACAGACAAGGCAGCAGTTTTCAGGCCTTAGCAGGGCGATGCCCCCTTCACATCCTTGGCATCCAAGGCGCCCGTCAGCTGATCCCAGCATTCAGCCGCCACCTCGGGGTCATGATTGGCTGAGTTGTTTGTTACCCTCGTGCGGTTCAGCAGAGACCCGACAGGAGCTTTCGTGAGTCAATCCACCAACCAGCTGGGCAGGTTTGGACTGGGGATTATGGCCGCCGCACCCCCCCCCCCCCCCACCCTCATGCCCCCCAGGAGCTGTGGAGGGTGTTGCTGATGCTACCGGGCCAATAGCTCAGTTACTGGGCGGCTCATGCTGTGGACCCATGGGTGGTTGCCACTCTGACCTATGGTTACCGACTACAGTCCTGATGGTGGCCTCACATCTCACGCCGGGTCAAGATGACTATAATCGTCGACCCGGTGAAAGCTTGAGCACTAGACCAGGAGTTTTTGCCCTCCTGGACAAGGGTGCAATCGAGGCAGTGGACCCTCTGCAACAACCCAGAGGCTATTACTCGACTTACTTCCTCGTGCAAAGAGGACGGCGGGTTTCGTCCCATTTTAGATCTGAGGGGACTCAACAAGTACCTAAGGGTCCTGCCCTCCCACGTGCTCATGACAGCAGAGGTCCTTCAAGCTGTCACAAGGGGAGAATGGTTCACGTCGATAGACTTGAAAGATGCTTATTCTCATGTGCCTGTTGCGGAAGAAGATCGCCGCTTTCTCAGGTTTGCCTATCAAGGTCATCACTGACAGTTTTGGGTGCTCCCATTCAGGCTCTCTCTTTCCCCGAGGGTGTTCACTCCGTGCGTGAAGTCAGCCCTCTCTCCTCTGCCTGCAGGCCTACGGAGTGAAGGTTCTGCTGTACTAAACGATTGGCTTCTCTGCGCCCCGTCTCGGGCTTGTGCCTTTTACGACACGAATCGCCTGCTCGCTCATGTGTCCCAGTTGGGCCTTAATGTCAACCTGGAGAAGAGCTGCCTGATCCCTTCCCAGACGATCACCTTTCTTGGGGTACGCAAAGGGAACATCTCTGATTTGCTACAACCGTATGTCCCACCACGCTCCCTGAGGTCAGCGGACCAGTTGCTCCTCACAGTTCCAGGAACTCGTCTTAAGCGCAGAGGTGACAGGGCCTTCTCTGTAGCAGGACCAAGACTCTGGAACAAGTTACCTCTGCTTGTCAGACAGGCCCCCTCCCTCTTGGTTTTCAAGTCTCGTTTAAAAACTCACTACTATTCAATAGCTCTCAACACAAGATGATCTGTGTTTTGATCCTGTATGCTCCACACTGGTTTGTCGTCATTATCTGCATCGTTTTTATGTCTATATTCTGATTTACCTCATTTTGTATTTTGCTTTGTGTGTTACCTGTTGTTTTGTCTGTACTGCACTTTGGTTGGCTTTGTAGCTGTTTTAAGTGCTTTATAAATAAAGTGGTATGGTATGGTACATTCAGTGCTTTCAGCACCACCCTCTGGCAGTCATCCGGGATTCATAGAACCGAAGTTACATACGTAACTTTCGTAACCATGAGTGAGGAGGTAGTTGTCATGACGACCTCTGGGGTTCACTTTGTCTGTGTGTGGAACAGGAAGAGTCACAAGGACCCCACCACCACCACCACCAAGACAAACATGTATTGGGCAGTTATGTGAGCGGCCGGGTGTGACAAAGCCAAATGTTTTTGGTGGCAGGAAGCTCGTTAGCCCATCAAAAAAAAAAAAAAAAAAAAACATAAAATAGCTGCAGCATTGTCCAAGCCACGGACGGGTTTCAAAGCCTGTGAAAAAAGTAGTGGCTTATAGACCGGACAGTATGGCAATTTTTCAACTAGTTAACAAACCCCAGTGAGATATTACCAGTAATAAATTACTGATAAATTCCATTAATTTTTTTGACAAAACATTTCCTGAAATTATTTATATAAAAATAATTTTCTCTTGTGGATATTAGACTTGGGCAACACGGTGGCACAACTGGTAGAGCTTCTGTCGCTCAGCAAGCAGGTTACCCTGGTTCAAATCCCGGTCCGGGGGCCTTTCTGGGTGGAGTTTGCATGTTCTCTTCGTGTTGGGTGGGTTTTCTCAGGGTACTCCAGTTTCCTCCCACAAACCAAAAACAGGCACGTTAGGCTGATTGGTAACTTTAAATTGTTCCTAGGTGTGAGTGAGAGAGTGAATTGGAGTAGTTTGTCTCTACGTGTCCCTGTGATGGACTGGAGACCTGTCCAGGGTGTACTCCACCTCTCGCACAGTGAGAGTTGAACATGGGCACCAGTGACCCCCATGACCCAAAATTTGAAGAATCGGGTAAAGATAATGGATGGATGGATGGATAGATGGATGGATATTAGACTCGGTTAACTATATTTTCTACACTTTTAAACTTAAATATAGTTTTTGCCAACTCGTGCTTAAGTAGTGCATTTATTCTGTTTCTGTAGAGAATTGCATCTGAAGTTTCATAACTTTGTAAAAATTGACTTGTAAAATTTTGTTTTATATCAACAAAATATACTAAAATGATTGTGAAAATTTTATTTTAGGATAAAAATCATTTAAGTACAAGTTCAAATCAAAATGATCGTTAACATTTTCTTATAGTCAACATTTTTTAATTTCTTGATATTTTACAAAAGATGATTAAATACTTTTTATTATAACATTATTTACAAAGGTTGTAAGACAAATCTGAAATATAATTTTGAAAATATTTAAACTCAGAAATGTGGACAAACTTCTAAAGTCTGAGTTGTTTTTTCTAATGCTACTTATATTTATTTTACCCCAAAATAAATCAGGCTTTTATTAGTAAAGTTTCTGTGAAATAAACCTGCTGTAGTAGAAAACCAAAAGACTCCGTGCTGTTGCTCAAGAATGTTGTTTGACCCTCAGCTCCTGAACAACGGGCCCAGTACATTCAGTAAAGCATCTCTGAAGGTTACGTGGCCGTACCACTTCAAGAACGGCTCTCTGCTCTACATCACCAGCTTCGACACTGAAGGGCCCATCAACTGCACCACGGACATAGAGATCAACCCGTTCAACGTCTCTGTAAGACTCACAAACAAGCACCGCTCACACCATCCTGCTGACGTCACACATTCTGTTACCCATAAAAAAACTCCCAGCCAAATGTGTTTTAATGTTTGCAGATCTTTGGGTTACAAATCAATCATCAGCACATGTAAACACCTCCATTATAGCAGGAGTTCTGGCAGTTCAGGTGCAGCTGGAGTGCAGATGAAAATACAAACAAAAGCACCTGTTTCAATGCTGTTATTGCATCACTCAGCCCCCTTTGAATAGGAAGTGGCCATCAGGGCACTAATTATCAATTGTTAGGGCTCTAACGACCTATTGTTAGGGCTCTAATGACCAATTGTTAGGGTTCTAACGACTTATTTTTAGAGCTCTAACAACCAATTGTTATGGCTCTAACGACCTATTGTTAGGGCTCTAACAACCAATTGTTATGGCTCTAACGACCTATTGTTAGGACTCTAATGATCTATTGTTAGGGCTCTAATGACCTATTGTTAGGGCCCTAACAAGCTATTGTTAGGCCTCTAACGACA